TTCCAGGTATCTACATACCTTTTGCATCCTACATTTCTTTTCCTTGCAGACATCCATCCAATCTCTTATATTAGTTAGAAGACCAAGCTGTCAAATAATTCACGTGCTAAAGTCATACAGTAATCAAGTTTATCTGTATTGTTTCAGACATATCATCAATGTATTATTGACGTGCTTTACCAATGTATGTGCTTCAGGCTGGTCACGTGTAACTCCTGGTAGATTAAATATCTAACAGTCCACTGTCATGGAAAATTCATTGTGGTAACCACACTCTGAACTGATCTTGGCTTCTTGACTGCTGAAGCCAAATCAATTGAATCAAAAGTCAGCCTTGAAACTGTTAAATTACATTTCTCAAAGGCTCTTGGCATGGGACATCCAGGCTGCCCTTATTAGGACATGGATAACATCTTCACTGCCTCCAGCACTGGTCCGAACACCTTCTCGAGCCCCAATTCACTTTGTATCTGCATACTGTGGATACAAATATGTTCCCAGATGCAATGCAAAACCAAACTTCATACAATGCCAGAGGAGAAAACTCTGGAATCATGCTGATGTAAGTGCACTCTTATCTGTCTGTGGACCAGAAAGTCTCGCACCTTTTCCTGTCCTGTCTGTCTGTGTCATGGAACTTGACCAGAGCAAGTTCTTCTGACCAGCAAGTAGACAGTAACATTAATGATGGAGGACCAACTTTAAAAGAAAAGTTTAAAAAATTGCTGGAAAAAGAAGACACGTGTTTCATCAAAGGAAAGCAGCTTTGTGCATTCTTCCCTGGAAAATTTTTCATGACAAAACTCATGTAATCTCCATTCTTTCACCTCTTACTTTGATCAGCACAGGTTTACACTGAGCTGTTGTTAAGAAAGCTCAACAGAATGAATTCAAACTTATGCGTCCTGGAATTCCTGGTCCTGATGATAGGATTTTCCATACATGCTATATAATGCCATGTGTGAAAGAACCCAGCCTGATGTATTTATTTAGCAGCTCTCTAACAGCATCTTCCGAAGACATACACAAAATATATCTAGTGAGGAAAAAAAGGCAAGAACTTTCAGAAATTAACGATGTCCATGGATTAGAAACATCATAACACAGATTCACCCAGCGTTTTTAATACTTCTAGTCTGATCCTCTTTTTTTTTTTCTTTTTTAATTTTGAGAAGAGACAGCATAAAAAAGGGACAATATATTCAAGACAGGAAGAATAAGCTTTATGGTATGACTGAGCAAACTCAGTTGTGCTGCAGGGTTGAAGGTAATTCTTTGGACTTCAGAAGTGGCCACTATGGGACCAGTCTGTGTGAGAACAGAGTTGGTCTCCTGTATCTCCTGGTAACTTGGTACTATGCTGATCATGTGGTTGTAGTAGGCAAGCAGGCTGCAGTGTATTCTATTTTCTTTTTCTCCTAGATGTAGCGAGGCAGCAACCACTGAAGTGTCAATAAATATTAGATTAAGAAATGTTCTCTTCATATAAAGTCAGGAGAGAGACAGAAGTATCTATCAAAAGTCCTTTGGAGGAGTGGGATTTGATGCCCCGTTGGTGAAAATTGATGTTTATCCACCCATTGCAGTATTCTTGGCAAAGACATTTGGCAGTAGCGCTGCTGCTGAACTCACTGGAGCCGTGACAACTTAGCTTGGCTGAGATCTGCCCCTAGGGACTCACTAGGTCAGAATTGTCCTCCAGGCCACGGATCTAACTCTATAAAGGACTTGAACAAAGAAATTCATTCCCTTTACCTCAGTTTCCATAAATGTAAATAGATTCTGATAACATCCATCACAGTCTCATAATTTGTCAGGCGTAGTTAAACCTGCTAGAGTATGGTATTAAACAGCTATATAGATATGTGATGGAAACACAGAGATGGAGTGAGACTTCTGGTGAATAATGGGCTGTTGGAGAAACAAAACCAAAGCGAGACAGTAATCCAGATAAAGAACAGCATCAGAAACTGAGCTCCCGGTTGTGAAGAATAAGCTTCATCTCTGCCTGCATGACACAGCCACTTTGCCAAGTATCTGAGCCTCAAAATTCAAAGTAAGTTTGCCAAATAAGTCTTGTCTTTCCCAGGTAAGAATAGGTTCTTTCTTCAGCAGAATTTAAGAAATTTTGTCAAGTTAGGTAACGTGTTATGTAACATCCGTTTCATTTCTGTTGTATTACGCGGTTTTTTTTTTTTTTTCTGACAGAAACGCATTTTGGATGAATATTTAATGCCCTTGCTTTTAAAAAAGTATCTTTGAATCACTTCAGTCAGCTGCGTGAGCTGCATACTAGTGTGCTGTCAGATACCATGACTGAAAAGGGAGGGTGCAGCTCAGGAATGC